ACTCCAATATTCTTGCTTGGGAAATCCCACGGACAAGAGAAGCCTGGTGGGCTACTCTCCATGGGTCGAAAAAAGTCGGACACGACTGAGCGAATAACACACAATGACAACCACAGGAGGATGAAAAGAGCATTTTCTCTTTAAAGGCAAAATGAGACCAGGGAAGAGGGCAAGAAAGATAGGAGCTGAGAAAGAAGGGCTTCAGAGGCTCCTGAAGGCATATCAGCGAGACTAACAGCTCTGGTCACACTCCTGTATTCACCTGAACTGTAAATTTCTGTGTCATCTATTGTCATGGCGTTTCAAAAGCTGATTATGCACTCTTATGGAGCTCTTCAACGACTCTTTACTCTTAAACATTTATAGCACCCTTCCAAATGAGTGAGTTACAGCAATCCTCCTCAGGTGAAAGTATTCTCCAAGCTCTTGCTTCTGTAAGCAGATGCATGTAATCCTCAGGGACACACACAAAGGCATGAACTCTGACCAGGCTCAATTGCTCACAGAATCTCACACACACCTCACAGTAAGGCCTGAATCAATACCAGATGATTCATCTTTCTCTTTAGGGCTGACCCTAAAATGTGATTTCCGTTTATAGCCAACCCTTCCCGTGGAGCAGGAAACTTCTTCGATGACAGAGATGTTCCACCTGCCAATGCAGGAGACATAAGAGACACAAGTTCGATCCCTGGGTCAGGAAGATCCCCTGGAGGAGGGCATGGCAACCCACTCCAGTATTCTTGCCTGGGGAATTCTATGGACAGAGGAACCTGGTGGACTACAGTCCACATGGTCAAAAAGAGTCAGACACGACTGAAGCGACTTGGGACGTTCTATATCTGTGCCGTCCAATGGGGTAGGCAGACACTGGCCGAATGTGGCTCTTGAGCATTTGAAACATGGTTAATGTGACTGATGTGTGTGTGCTCAATAGCTCAGTCGTGTCCAACTCTTTGCGACCCCATGGACTGTAGCCCACCAGGTCCTCTGTCCGTGGAATTTTCCAGGCAAGAATACTGGAGTGGGGTGCTATTTTCACTCCAGGGTATCTTCCTGACCCAGAGATCGAATCTGTATCTCCTGTATTAGCAGGCGGATTCTTTACCATTTAGCGCCACGTGGTAGTACTTTATAGGAAGCACAGTGTGACTAAGGTGCTGAATTTTAAATTGTATTTAGTTTAAAATTTTTTTAATTTGAAAAGCCACATAGCCACACAAGGCTAGTGGCTGCTGTATTGAACAGCATAGCTTTGGAGTAAAAAGGAGAACCGTAGCTTTGTATTCAGCTCCCATCTTGGCTATGCCAAGAAAAAGGCAGCTATGCTGTGAAAGACCAATATAAATGCTAGTCATGATGCGTTCGATTCTATTATCTCCTTCTGACTCATACTGTCTTGCACATGGTCTCCTATTCAGGGAAGATGTCTAGACTGTTCCTTGTACAAGAGTGGCCTCTAACTGGAAGGGGTGGGTGGTGGTGGACCACTGACCAAAGGCTATCTACAGGCTGCCTAGAGCCCTGGGAGGTGGCCTGTCTGGAGTCTCTGAAGGAGCAGCAGTGATTGACTCAGCCTATCAGGGTGCCTCCCTTGGAATTTTAAAAGGTTTGGCCAATCAGCAGAGAGAGGAGGCGGGAGCAAGCAAGCCAGGAGAGACAAAGACACCAAGGTTCAGAGAGCTGGGTTCTCGGTCAGCCAGCCTGTTCTAACCCCAATTGCCAGTCATATATATGCTTAAACAAGCAAGGAAAAAATTACCCTTTCCTTTCCTTTAAGGTGGACTGAGTGACTGTTTTTTCTTTACTTAAAAGAAATTCAGTAACTAAAAATTCCTCTAAGGAGGGGTTTCTCAACCTGGGTACCACTGACATTTGAGGCCAGAGAACTCTTTGTTCAGGGGTGCTGTCTTGCGCCTTGTAGGACGTTTAAGAGCATCCCTGGCTCATTCTCACTAGATGCCGGTAGCATGGCCCGCCCACCCCCACCAGTCGGCATTACCAAAAATGTCTCCAGACGTCGCCAAATGTCTCCTGGTGGGTGTGGGCATGGGGCAGGGGCAAGAATCTCCATTCTCCACCCCCTTGAGAATCGCCTCTCCAAATGTATCCCAAGTCCACCTCCTCTGGCCTCCTTGAGGACAAAAAGATAAAAATGGCAGTTTATTCCTAGCAACTCCCAGCTCTCCCTCCCTCTCTTCTCCAGGCTAAATAAAGATAGCTTTTTTAGTCTTTTTCCTAGAGTCTGTTTCACAGATATTGATGGCGACATCTAAAGATGAGACTGAGACCATTTGGTGGAGAGGAACTCTGTTCCCTTAGCTCTCCCTATTTATAGAGACAGTGGGCAGACACAGCTGTGCAACCCTGGGACAGTGACAGCTCCCTGGTCAAGGAAGGGGCATCTCCAAGCTCAGTGCTCCGTCCAGCCCTTTCTGCCCACGAGCTGATTAAGATCTGCTGAGCCAACATTCTGCTGATTTACGAAAAAAGAGGAAACGCTCTTTCAAGGCCCTCAGCTTTTGTCTCTTCACATCCCTTTGAATATTCCAATCCTTTGGTGGGAGTCTCTCCCCTTGGTATTCTCACAGACACCTCAAACTCAGTCAAATGAAACTCTTTATCTTCCTCCAGTGTTTTCTATTGTGTCCATCTCGTCTCCTGAGTCAGAAGCCTGAGCGTCATCCTCTGAAACGATGTGAAAGGAAGAGAGTGCTAGAAGAATCTGGAGAGGGAGACAGTAGCTAACTCAGGGAGGATTTTTTTGCGCTGTACTAAGGCTTTTCAATGTGGATGGCTGCCTCCCCTTTGTCATCAGCCAGTTCCTCATTCACCTCTCACAGTGTGAGCTGATTTTTTTCTTTTGGCCTCGTGTGCAGCATGTGGGATCTTGGCTTCTCAACCAGGAATCCAACCTGCATCCCCTGCAGTGGAAGCATGGAGTCTTAACCACTGGACCACCAGGGAAATCCCTAGATGCCTCTTGAAAGCTTTCATCATATTCACAAGTCCCATCCACGGGGAGGGGTTTATACAGGGTGTACAGACCAGCAGGGTCAGAAATCTTGGAGCCACCTTAGAATTCTGCCAACGATAGACAATAAGTCTGTACTCTCCTACCCCATTTTGAAAATGTTTTAAAATATATATATTTTCTCCAATTGACTCCATTTTCAACTTCACCATTTAAGAAAATGAGGCAATGGCAGAAATGGTTAGCTTTTTCCCAGTGCCCAAATTTCTCTTCTTTCATAGAAACAAAATTCATTTCTACCACAGGGGGTATCACTAGCTGGGTACAAGGCTACTTAGAAAATAAAGACCACTCTCCCTAGCTTCCCTTGCAAGTAAATGTGGTCACAGATCACTTTCCAGATAACGGAATATAAGTAAAAGTGATGAGTGGAGCTACAAGAAACCTCCCTCGTGGAGCCTCTGGCTCTTTCCTTTCACCCATTTTTCATTCCTTTCTCCATGTGAATGCTAGAATCCAAGTGGCTCCAGCTGGTACCATGCCCCAGGATGGTAGACGAGTGAGCTGTCAGGAGCCTGGGGCTCCAAGGCCTTTGTGAACCAGAGCTGCCTTCCCAGATTTGAACTGCACACCACTGGGCTTTCAAGTGGTAGAGAAATAAACTCCCATTTTGTTTAAGCCATTGTTGATTTGAGTTGTCTGTGACTCAGAGTTAAATATAATCCTAACCAACACAGGGGGTTATTTCCTTAGTCCCGCTAGACTTGACAACTTAAATTTATTTTTTCTTCCTTCAATCCCTTTAAACTCCTATGTCCACGAAGGTCCTAACTCCTGTTGATTCTTCCTTTGCGCTTCACCTCACACTCATCCCTTCTTTTCAATATCTACTGACAGTTCTGATCCCAGACTATTCTCTAGGCTCCATCTCCCTCCCTCCCATCAAGGCTGCACAAGTCCCAGACTCCTGAGACATCACATTCATCATGTCAGTCCTCAAATTCAAACCCCCAAACCCAGGATCCTCTCCTGCTTATTAAGATAAGGTCCCAAAGAGTCTTGAAACCCTTTCAACATGGAGCTCCCACCATTTTTATTATTTTATTTTTTACTTTCTGGCTGCACCACATGGCATTTGGGATCTTAGTTCCAGGGAAGTACCGAATCTTAACATGCTGGACCACTAGGGAAGTCCCCTTCAAACATTTTAGTTTCTCCTCCCTCTAATTCAGATCTTCCTCAACAACCAGGAAAGTCCCCAGAACAACCCAGTTTGTCTTTGCTTTATGCTGGAGATCTTCAGCCCTGGCTTGTATTAAATCATCTGGAGCCACTGAAAACAACCAGCGCCATGTGTCAGCATTGTTCAACGCATGAAAACATTTTCTCATGTGAGGCACAAAGCAGCCTCATGAGATGTAGGCACTGGCATTGTCACCATCCTACTGATGAGGAAACAAGAAACTTAGGAACTTTAGGACATCATTTCTGGTCAGGTGGCCAGTGAGTGTGGAGGCAGGACTCCAACAGAGAGGGCTGCCCTCTAAACCGCTCCTGTGTGGTCCCTACAACTACAGTACAGAGCATTACAGATGAAAAATGGTTTCTGATGGCATGGCACATAATTGATGGCCAATAAATCACAAAGCACAAATGAAAATTTTAAAAAATACAAATGCCAGGGGATTCTCTGGCAGTCCAGTGGTGAGGACTCTGCACTTTGACTGCCAAGGGCACAGGTTCAATTCCCTGGTCAGAGAACTGGGATCTAGCAAGCTGTGTGGTGCCACCAATAATAATAATAGCAACAATAATAAATACAAATTCCAAACCTCCAGCCTAGACTAGTGGAATCTGTTTCTTGGGATTAGGGTCTGAGCGCTTTTGTGTCATCTTTGGGTTGAGCCCAGGTTTATCACAGGGTGATTCCAAGCTGAGCTGGGGTTGAGACCCATTGCTTTACATAGTTGCTCCTGCCTATCTGTCTTCCTCTCATTCCCTCTCACCACCCCCAGGTTCTACTTACCTTTTGAGATTCAGTCCAAGTCTTACCTCCCTTTGTGGAGCTAGCCAGCTTTCTCCAGGCGGAGTGCTACCTTTTTTGAAATGTTAGTTGCCAAACATATCCACACCAGCTGAGCTGGCACATCTTCTACCTCTAGGTTGAATCCAGCTCTTGGCTTCATGCCACTGGATCCTTGGCAGGTTTTTCCAAATTTAATCATTTGCTGCTCAGCTTTTTCCACCTTTGCCCAAAAAAGCAACAAGCACAATCACCCCTCTATCAGTAACAAGATCCAAATTTAGGGTCTTGCAAAGCCGTAACCTTGGCTCAGTGCTCCCCTCTCAGGGATTGAAAGCTAGGGAGATGTAGGGAGATGGTGATTAAGGGGCAGGACCCCCAGCGCAGTAGAAGAGAGGAATGTGGGTGGGGCCTTTCCAGGACTTTCAGGTGCAGAGCTGGAGGTTGGTAAGATGAGGGGGTGCTGGTGCCTCTAGGGGAGAGGTTGGACTCACAGACTGGAAAATCTTGAGAGCAAAGCTTGGGTAGGATATGGGATAAAATCTGGTGGTCAAGGAACAGAATCTGAGAGGGCAACAATTTGAGCAAAAATGATGTTGGTCCACTGGAGGTTGTTGAAGGACTGAATGAATGGATCTTCACCTGCGTTATTGGGAAGAATTTAGAGGGCTGTGGTATCCTTGCTTGCTGCAGGAGACCGCCAGGCAAGAGAGGCTAAGAAGGCATCAGATGAGGGGCCTGTTGGGGAAGAGAGGACCTAGTCAGACAGAGGCCAGATTCCGAGAGAGTAGTGCATTCTGCCATCTACTCCTCCCCCCTCGCCCCCAAGTTCAAGGGGCACATGGCTCTTGCTGGCTGTCAATTTCCACTGAAGTCATGGGTGTGACCAGGTCTCCCTGTCTGTCCTGATAATCTTGCTTGATTATCTCCTTCCACCAGGCTATGAAGCAGGTGGTAAAAAGAGTCCCAGGGAAGGGGCATCACTTGTCTTGAGTTACATGGGGACTTAATGGCAGTGATGGAATTAGAAGCCAGTTCTAATTCCCAGCCCAGGGGTCTTTACTCTTGACTCTGTTGCCAAGGTAGTCACTTTACCCTTTGAGGGCTCAGAACAAGGCCTCTGGTGGGAGTGGCAGGACTAGGCGCCTCTTCTCCTGGTGGGTCTGTGTTCCACAGGAGTCCCAGGTCTTCTCTGACCGAACCTGTTCTTGGAGACTAAGTGGGGGCTGAGTGGGACAGAGAGCAGCCTCCGGGGAGATAGTCTGGCAGGCTCTTGCCTACACCATTGGCCTTTCCGGTCCCATTGCCATCAGCTGCACACAGTGAGGTCGGCCACTGTTCTTTTGGGTCCTATGGGAGGCCTGGTGTGAAGATCAGCTCAGCAATGAAACCTGCTGTCCACGTGATGAGTTTCCTGATTCACTCAGGCTCGGGATGGAGGGAGAAGTCAAGGTCTATTCCAGAACATGACTGTATTGGACAGGCCAGTCAAAGTGCTCAGTGCATCAAAGGAACATTTCCAAGAGACTCCCCATTTCTACTGCTCTGCCAAGGGCAGCCCCACCCCCACTGGATCCTACTCTAGTCTAGTGGGGAGGTCTGAGTTCAGGGTCCTAGAAGACAAGGGTTGTAGATCTCTGGACATCCTAAGAGCCCAGAGATGACCTGGGGCAGACACTCGTACTGACCAGGGACCCAGGCTAACCTGAGTCATTCAGGTTCTCTGCTTCTTAATAATTTGAACTAGAGCTGCAGACAGAGGGCCAGGAAGCAGGGATAAGTGAGCTGCTGAGCTGCCTTAGAGGCGGCACTCCAACCTGCAATCTTGGAGCTCCTGCTGCCTCGGGGCTACAAGACAGTCCAGGCAGTCAGAGAGAGCCCTGGAGCCAAATAGCCCTCCAGGCTCCCCTGTGTTCCCGGGTCTACCAGGAATGATCACACACAGAACATCCCAGCCACCTTATTCCCAGGCATCTCTTCACAACACAGTCAGTCACCGGAGGCAACCTGAGTGAGTCTGTGTCACTAGATGGCCCCTGTGATGGGCGTGGAGACACACTCAAGGGGGGTTGCATCTAGGAGGCCAAGTGGGGGTGTCGTGGCCCCTCCCTGCACAGAGTACTCCTCCACTCCCCACCTGGGAGGATCAGAGTGTTCCATGAGGAGACCCCAGATGCGCTGACTAGGATGCAGAGCTGAGAGCCTGGGGAAGAACTGCAGCTAGGAAGGACCACAAATAGCCAGTCACAGTCCTGCAGGTGTGTGTGGAGGGGCTGGCTGCAGCAGGGCGCCTTCCTCACCCACAGTCTCCAGTTTATCATTGTTCTCTGAGCAGCAAATGCTGCTGTGGTCCAGATGAGCCCGGGATCTGTCCCATCACTGCAAGACCCTGGCTTTTGTTTCAAACAGCTGACTGGGTAGATTGTGACTCTGACCCAGGGGGGTTTCTTCTTTCCATCACCTCCCCCTCATACTCCCAGGTTGCCAGACAGATTCTGAACTTCCTCCCAGGGTAGAAGAAAAGCAGGACAGGTGCTCTGCCAGGGCCTCCCTCCTCAGGTCTGGGTGGAGTGGGGCATCTCCAGACCAGATTGCTGAGGCTTCTCTCAGCCCAGATCTGCAGAGATACCACCATCAACATCAGTGTCCACCTCAAGTCAGGCCCTCAGATAAGAAATGGTGAACAGACCTGCAGCGCTGAGTTCAACAAACATCTCCTGAGCATCTACTGTGTGCCCAGGGTGGGCACAGCTGGGCAATGTGAGCCATGTAGAGATGGGCAAGACCCAGTTCTGACTCTGAGAGAACCAAGCAGGGAGGTGTAGAATTTACAGAGAGAATGGTAATTCAGGGAAGAATATGATCAAAGCCATTACAATCTTTTCCAACTGATTCAGGGACTAAGGAGAGTTGAATGCATATCCCTGGGGACAGAGAGGCCTGCATGGAAGAGTCAGCATTTGACCTCGATCTAGGGGACTGGGGGCTTTCCTGGTGGCTCAGATGGTAGAGCGATTGCTTGCAATGTGGGAGACCTGGGTTCGATCCCTGAGTTGGGAAGATCCCCTGGAGAAGGAAATGGAACCCACACTAGTACTCTTGCCTGGAAAATTCCATGGATGAAGGAGCCTGGTAGGCTACAGTCCATAGGGTTGCAAAGAGTCATACACGACTGAGTGACTTCACTTTCTTTCTTTCTTTCTTTCTTTCTTGGGGACGGGGGTAGACTTTGATGTGAAAAGAGAGATGGAAATAGGCTGAAGCAGGAGATTCCCCAAAGAAGGACTGTCAGTCATTGGGTTACCAGTAATTAATGTCAGCTGCTGTGCCAGGCACTGTACCAGGAGGGGCTGGGGAACAGTGTGCCGCATGGCCCTCCCATGGTCAGTGGGGAACCAAACAGGCAGATGATGACCCTAGGCCAGTGGGACAGGAGCTGTGGGTGAGAAGGCAGGGGTGAGGGGGTCCCAGACCGTGTAGCCTTGGTGCATGGTCTGCTGGAAATTAAGCCTCAAGAAAGGGAATCAGAGCCAGACCATGTTGCCCCACTCCCACCCCACCCCCAGCCATCACCACTCTACTGAACTTGAATCTGAAAGCACTGCATGCATGCTAAGTCACTGCAGTCATGTCTGACTCTTTGCGACCTTATGGACTGTAGCCCATCAGGCTCCTCTGTCCTTAGGGATTCTCCAGGCAAGAGTACTGGAGTGGGTTGCCCTGCCCTCCTCCAGGCAATAGAACTCAGGTCTATTGCATAGACAGGTGGATTCTTTACCACTAGTGCCTCCTGGGAAGCCCCTGAAGGCATTAGAAACCTACTTTTCGACTTTGGTCCCCAAGCTGACAACATGGAGGAAAAGACCAAAGAGGCCAACATTTTGGGGGCTGGGACACTTCATGGCGCTGTTTACCCACTGTCCTTTGACCAATTTTCCCCCAAAGATATCACCAGGAAGTGTATCTATTGGGGAGCATGTGTTCACTCCCTACTGAGAAAACACCACCCACAGGAGGACCAGGAATAGAGTGTAGGTCATTTCTCCAGCACATTCTCGGGATCATCTCTTGTCATCTTCACAGCAGACTCTGGAGTGAGGTTTACGACCTGCTTTTCCAGATGGAGCCACTGCAGCAGCTAGGGGAGGGAAAGGCATGGGCAGAGGCGGACACACAGCTCACACGGGGCCTGTCTTCTCCAAAGCTTGCTCTTTGATCTGGTTCCTGTTTGATAGGTACGTCTGGGTTTGTCCACCAAAGGTTAGCGCGCTGGTTTTCTGTTTATCACCTTTGTGGTCAACGGAAACAAAATCAAGAGGGGATACCTCGGGTCAGGGCGCTATTGCAGAGCCATTCCTTCCCACCAACCACCCCATCCCGGTGCTGCGGAAGAGAGGGCTGTGTGAGCCAAGTCACTGCCCTGAGCTCTGCGCACAGCCGAGAAGACACAGCATTTGGGGGACGTGTCTCCAAATCCCAGGCAACGCCCCTCGCCCTGCCCCGCCAAGCCGCAGACAGCAAAGGCCAGAGAAGCCCAGGGTGCAATGAATCAGAGTGAAAGGATCTCTCTGCGACCTCTGGGAGGAAGGAGAAGTCTGAGCCGTCTCAAAAGACCCTCCCTCCCTGCTCCCCAGCTTACATTTAGGTGCCCTTGGGATCCCGCCGAGCCCGCTCTGCCCAAAGGGCGCAGCTTTTGCGCTCTGAGCTCCGGAGCCCTGCGCAACGCCTCCCTCCCCGCCTCCGCCCCAGGGCTAAGCGATTGCTATTTTGGTCGGGGTGGGGAGCGATCTCACCCTCGCAGAGGTTGAGTGAACAGCCCCGTCACGGGAGGACGGAGAGCTTAGTAAAGAGCCTCTGAAGATGGGTGCTCACGTTTCTGTGTGTCTCGGGCCCCGCCGAGAGCGGGAGCGAGGTGAAGCTCAGAAAAGTCTTTCGCTCCCCAGCACAAATGACTGTGGAGTCTGTGACAGCAAACCCGACCAGTTCTTCCGTCCGAAATCAGTTCTCTCCCGATGCCAGAGAGTACCGGGCCGCCAAACTGTGGTTTGGCGGCGAGCTGGATCCCTGCAGGGTTTCTCCTCTCGCGGGGTCCGGGAGCCGCCGTGTGGTTGGGGGACGGTGGGGGGCGGAAAACGCCGGGCTTTCTCGCCTGCTGTCCGAGAAAGGAGCCCCTCCCGCTCGGGTCTGTAGAGGTGGGTGGGGATGGGCATGTGGTGGGAGTTTGTCCCGCCCGCCAGCCCCGCGGGACGGATGGCTGGGCGGCGGGAGGGAGGTCGTCCTTCAAACCCAGCAGAGCTGGAGGCCCTGGCCTGGGCCTATCTTTTGCCCCGGGGATCTGGCCACACACCCCAGCAAGTCCCTGAAAGAGCCTGCATTCAAGGAGCGTCTGCCCGAGGTAGACAGACCCAAGTGTGTTGTGCACTGCGTGTGTGTGTGTGTGTGTGTGTGTGCACTCCATGTGTGTGCGCGCGCGTGTGTGTGCAAGGCGAGAGGGTCTCGGCGTCCCCCGCACTCTCTCTCCGGGATTCTATATTTTGCCATCCTTTGTTCTCAAAATAGGCGGCGAGCCTGCTCTGCTCTGCGCTCGGAGCCGGTGGGGGCCGTAGCGAGCTCGCTGGCGCGCGCAGAGTTAGCAGCAGGGTTACAAACAGTCTCTCCCTGCTCCCCCGGCCTGAATTAATGTGTTACTATTTTGGGCGCGCCAGTGTTTCCAGGGGAAACCTAATGACGCAATGACGTCAATGCAGGTCAGCAGCAGACTCTCCGGGAGGGCGGGCGGGCTCCCGGCTTTCAGGCTCCGCGCAGTCTACGGGCGGCAGGGCGCAGACGAGGTGGCGAAGGCGGCGGGCGCGGGGGCGAGGGAACCCCGGGCGGGACCGGGAACCAGAGGGCGCTCCCTCCTAGCGCCCGGACCCGGGTAACTTCCCGTCGCCGGGCACGGAGTTTCCTTGCTGCCCACGGACAGGAGGCGGCTTGGAGGGCAAGCGGGGTAACCCCCTACGCCCACCCCACCTTTATCCAGGGGGAGCCAGAGGAGCCAGCAGGTTCGGACTCACTGAGAGGGCTCCACGCGGGGCCTCCCACGCACAGGTACGCGCAGGTCCTCAGGGTGTCCCCAGCATGGGGGAGGGAGACATTCACACTCATTCCTGTCCACACTCCTCTCGTGTTCTGGGACCGTAACTGGGAGTCTGGGGTCTGAGACCTAGCCCCTCCTCCTGTCTCCCCCACATTTCTGAGCCTAGGAGCCGCCTCTCTGCTACTCTCCAGCACCTTATCGGGTCGCAGGCTAGAACTGGGGCTTCGCCGCCGCTGGGCCTCCCTTAGAAGCGCCATCTGAGATCAGGAGACTAGGTGGAGAGGGACGACCAGGCCAGACGTGGGGGTGTGAGACTGGGGTGGGAGCCTCAAGAGCCTGGAGGGGGAGCCGGGCCCCTGTGCAGGGCGCGTGTATGGTACTGCTGGCGTACTTGGTGTGTGCGTGTTCTGGGAGCACGTCGTGTGTCCATGAGGTGTGTATGGCTGCTCTCATGGAAGTCTGCTGGGCGAACGTGTCAGTGGCATAAGTGTGAGAACACCTCAGGCGCTCCTCCTTGACCTGCAGCCGGGGTACCTGTCAGGAGTGTAGGCGGCCAGCAAGGGACCAGCCCGGGCCCAGGGTCTTTTCCCCCCAGCTCATCTGCCACGGCTGGCCAGGTCGCACCCTATTCCCAGCCAGGCTGTGGCCCGCTTTGGCCCGACCTGGCTGTAGCTTCGTCTGGAAGCACAGTTCTCAAAGCTCAACCTACCTTCTTGGTCGCACTCACTTGTGCCCTTCTCTCCTTGGAGCGTGAGTGGAAGGGGGAATTCATTTCCATCCACCCCTCCCCACCCGGACAAGGCTTAGGCTTGCTAACTGCTCCGCTCGGCGGCAGACCTCGTTTTCAGCACCGGAGTCCGGACAGCTCCACGCCCGCCCTGGCGCCGCCTCTTTCCTCCCAGAACTGGGTGCTGGGCCTGGGAATGAGACTCCCTGCCTGGGCCTCTCTGGCTTCTAACTTAACTCCTAGATCTTCCCACCCCACTGCCCCCAACACACACGTAAGTCTTACCTTTGCTTCCCTTTCCCAGATCTCAGTCTGGAAGCTTGGAGGGGTAAAACCAGCCGGCAAAATCTCCAGAGCTGACTTGCCAGGAGTCTCTGCGTTGAAGTCAGGCTTCCTCCAAGGGATAGTGATTCTGAACAGAGGCTGCTAAGGCCTTGCTGCAAGTTCCCCGTTCCCACCTCAGTTTATTAAAATTAAGTAAATAAAGCCAGATTCCTTCCCTGAAAAGGCAAACCAGCCTTCAGAAGGCATTGTCAGGGTTTAGGATTTTCTGGATTCTCAAAACACAATTCATGGCCTCTGTCATCCCTTCCTGGGGCTTCCCAGGTGGCGCTAGTGGTAAAGAACCCACCCATCAGTGCAGGAGATATAAAAGATTTGAGTTTGATCCCTGGGTTGGGAAGATCCACTGGAGGAGGGCATGGTAACCCACTCTGGTGTTCTTGCCTGGAGAATCTGTGGACAGATGAGCCTGGAGGGCTACAGTCCATGGGGTTGCAAAAAGTCGGACATGACGGAAGTGACTTAACTTGTTTTTCCTCCCCAGACATTTTTATAGCCCCGCCCGTTCCTGTTTTCCTGAATCTGGGCCTCAGCTAGTGGAGGGGCAGTGAGGCTGAGTCCTGCTCACCTCTCTACCTCCCCTGGTAGTCAGTGGTCAGCTGAAAGTCATGTCTTTGGAGCTCTAGATGGAGCAATGTCTGCAGGAGTTCTCCCCAGAGCTGTGTCCTGGACGTCCCCAGAGGCTCCAAAAGTTATTTTTGTGGTTGGAGAACTCTGTGTAGCTCACACTCACTGCACTGGCCACATAGAGACCTCCAAGAGAGCCCACACTCCACACCACTCTCCAAGTGGAATCCAGGACACAGCCATTCTACCTGTGGTTCCCTCCACTGGTGGTTTCTTTGGCTGATGAAAGCACCAGAGGTAGTACTGGAATGTTGTCTGAGACACCTCTCTCCATTTGCTCAGGTGTCTCCTTACTGTCATCCCAACTCCTCCAAGAAGAGCAGATTCAGAGATGGATGAGGGAAGCCAAGAAGTCACCTCTGTCCATCCTGCCCCACCCCACCCTATTTCAGAGACCCTTGGCAAGCCTGGGGACCATGAACCACTTCCTCTACCTGGAAATGAGAACATTCTTCCTCCCTAGACATCCTCCTCTCCCAGATAGCAGAGATTAGGCCCCCCTTTTCAGAGCTGACCCAGGGGCAGATCCAGGTGTTGTCTGTGTCCTACTGAGCCTGTAGCTCTAGAGGAGATCTGGGCTTACGGAGGAGCGTGCCTCTTTACAGAAGCTCTGGGACTTGGAGTGAAGCATACACATTGCCAGCAGGAAATGACCTTTCCTCTGAAGAAACTATTGTTCCACTTGCTTCCGAGCTATCAGAGAGAGGAGAGAAAAGAAATCCCAGGCTAGGGACAGGGAAGGAGGGACAGTGACCCCAGTCCAATGGCTTCCTTCTCACAAGGTAGAAGCCCAAAGCCAGCTCCTATGGCATCCTGAGTTTCCCCAAATCTCAGGGAGAATAAGGAAAGGACTGTTATTCCAAAAGAATTAATTTTCATGATAAAGCTGTGGGTGGTGAAGGAGGTTGCAGTGTGGGCAACACGTGCAAACCACAAAGGTATATGGCTTCCACTGAAGAACAGTGCCCCCTACCCTTCACCCCAGGATTTCTGCAGCTCAAACTTGGTCCTCTGGCCCACCATCTGCCAAGCCCCACTCCTGGCTACTTTCCAGGATGCTCTGGCTTCCTAGCTTCCTTCTTCAGAGTTAAGTAACATGTGGCTGTGGCCTCAGGGGAATGCTGGCCAACGTCAGGCAGATAGATGTTCGCCCAGTGGACCCGAGCCTGGCTTATCCACTTGTGGGCACAATAGGGACCTGGGGAGGAGAGCCAGGGAAGGTGAGTGGTCCCAGCCCACAGGAAGCCTGCATGTGACATTGCACTGGGTGGGGGGAGAGCCCAGGTCTCTGAGATTGTCCTTGCCTGATCGAAGTCATCACTGGCCAGAGGAGCTTCGGTTCCACTCCCCAACCCTCCACCCTGCCTTCACTCCACCACTCCCATCAGGTACTCAGCAGGAAGCTGGACTGACTCAGCACCATTCCCTGTGTTAGCATGAGGCCAAGACTTGTTTAAGTAACTCTTTGTACCCAGCCTCATTTTCTCCATCTGCATAATGGGATTAGCTGAAGCAGGGATGATCCCCACAGCTTGAGAGTCCTGACAGTCAGTAGCATCTGAAATCAGAGATAGCCAGCTCCTAAAATACCTGGGTTCCTGAGAGGCTCAGGGTGCTGGTAACTTTCCTGCCCCCTGGCCAGGGTCTCAGCCTCTCCCTATGGATGGAAGCCCAGGTCCTATCAGAGCAGCAAGAATGCAGGAACTCACTGCTACTAGCGAGGTGCCCATAGGAAGCATGTGTGAGGAACAGCTCTGGGCTGGCCAGAGTCACACAGCTCTAACCCTCAACTCAGCGCTCTAGCTGGGAGCCCCCATCCCCACCCCCCAAAACAAAGAATAGGAGAGCAAAGTGGAAATGGTCCTAGAGTTTAGTCTTGGGGCCTAGAAGCTCAGGGTATTTCCTTCCATAAGGAATCACATAGGGGTATCCTGATCACCTCACTATCCATCAGTGGGACCCTTGGGCTCAGCAGGGACAGAGACAAGGTCCAGGTGAGTTGGGACAAGGTCACTGTTCTCCTCCCTATGTGGAGCTTCCCAGGTAACATGGATCTCTTCCCCAAGGCTGACATTTGTATTCTGCAGCCCTCAGAAGGAAGACAAGGAGGGTGCCTCCTCAGTCAACAGGAGCAACCCCCGTGCACAGTGCGTCTGTTTCCCCAGAGGCTCCAGGTACAAGGTTGGCACTGACAGTGGGTTCTGAGTGACCTTGAACTAGTCGTGTCTCTGCACAGCATGAAAACAGGGA